GTAAAATTAACATTAAGACACCCTTGTGTGTTTTATTTCAAAAAGGAAGACAAAAGCCATAACACTCAAGGCTGTCGAGTCCACTCGTGAATGAATGTTCAATATTTGGGCAACAGATAATTGAATGATGAAGGCAATGTTGGAGAAAAGAGTGGAAAGACCTCTCAGGCAACACCTGTGAATCATTATGACATCTTCACAAATCACAGAGAACAGACAATCCATTCAGCAGTGTGCCCACAGGACACGTGAATATAATCTCTGTCTGAACAGGATGATCTAGTGTGGTGGTGAAGACAGATGCAGCTATGGCTCAAATCAAACAAAACAGAAAAACAGGAGATCAAGGAATATTCTGGGAGTTATTCTGGAAGTTTCTCATTTTTTTCAAACTTAGGAACAATTCGAAAATCTTTTTATGAACAGTGAGATTTTATTTAAACATTTCAAGATGTGATTAATGAGCTCATTCGACCATTACACCACACACAACACCATTTTTTTATTTTTAATATGTTGTGGATGGAGATATCATAAACTAGGTGTTATATACTGATTTGCAAACGTGGAGCTGAAGCTGATTTTTTTGGGGGATCGGGATGTCTAATATTAATAGAAAGATCAGTCTGCTTCAATATCTACATACTCGTGTGGGCATTCCTTTAATACCAAACTATTATTGGCACATGCAGATGTTAACCACAAACCCTCCAACATGTGAGTGTGAAGTTATGAAGGATACACGTCATTCTACAAACCTTCTGAAGAGCAGTTGTGCTGACGTGCAGTTTCTTCATAGGTCCCGATTCGACCGGGCCACTAACCAGAGTGTCACTTTGATTACCACGTAATTGTCTATGCTGAAATATCAGAGGGTCCTCTTCCTCTTCTGCCAAAGTATAGCCCTAAAAATGAGACACACAGGTTAACAAAGACACACACACACACACACACACTCTCTCTCACACACACACACACACACACACACACACACACACACACACACTCACTCACTCACTCACTCACTCTCTCACACACACACTTCATCAATTCTTGTGCTCAGCTTGAAAAAACATGCAGGCACTTGAAAAAGGGCTCCAAAATATGCCAATACTTTCCACAGATAGGAGACATAAATAAGTCAAAGTTTTTTGTTTTTTTTTAACAAAAACTCTTTTGTATGCACAGTGTAGAAAAAAAGAGTTGCAAGTAAGCTGACTGCAAATTTAGCCTGAATTAAGTAGTTTGTTGCATCTCCTTTGGGACCAAATGTTAGTTTGTTGATAAACATGCTTACAATAAATTAAAGAAAAAAAAATAGTTTGGTAATTTTTTAAAAGAATTTTAATGACAGGTTGTTAAAGAGGTCATATGATGCGTTTGCACATTTGCCTTTTACTTTAGTGTGTTTTGTAGCTGTTTGTGCATGTATAAGATCTGCAAAGTTACAAAGCTCAAAGTCTCCCACAAAAGGAATTTTTCTATCTAAAAGAGAAGGCTGATCCAGACCGCCCGAAAACGCCTCAATTGAATTCTCCCTCACATATCTACATTACTATGTGGAAATAAATTTGCATAATACCACCCAAATGGATACGCAAAGCAAGAAGTCGTGGCTTCAGGTATCACAGTACTGTTGTTGCCGCCATGCCGTGGAGACGCTTTGTGTTTCTACGCGGAAGCAAAAGCACTTTTTATGGCCTTCCAAAAGTGGACGCAATTAGGAGTCAGCAGTTTCCTGAACCTGGGAGTAGAGACCTGTACGGGACGGATTTTTCAGTCCCGCTCCCGCCCGCCCGCTCCCGCAAAAAATATATCTTATCTGGTCCCGCTCCCGCCCGCGACATTCATGTTTTGTCCCGCAAATGCAAGCAGTGCGCTTCCTTTATTATAAAAGCTGACATCTCAGTTAATCGCGATCTCATAAAGCTCTGTTATAACACTAAATATATGCACAATGAATCTTTCACAGTGTCTAAAATGAGAGGATTCGTGAGCACGCAATTTCAGCACTGCGGTGAGTAGATTCTAACTTAATCACCTCTGATTGGCCATTGCATTCCAGAAATCAACAGCTGAGTCTGTGATTGGCTACATTATAAATGGAAACTATGTCTAGCTTGCGCGTTAATCATTTCAATGTTAATATTAGTTGTTCTTTTTGCTTTAGTGCAACAGATAAATAACAATTTATATGTTTTAGACACTTTATGTTTAGATAATTTCTATTTTGCGGGAGTCCCGCGAATCATTTTATTCTCCCGCATCCCGCACACACACGAGTCTCTACCCGCCCGCACCCGCACTCGCCCATCAAGAGTTGTCCCGCACCGCACCCTGTTGCGTTGGGTCCCGCGGTACTCCCGCGGGAGTGCAGGTCTCTACCTGGGAGAGCACAAGGCCGGCTGTGCAGAAAGGCTGTTTCTAAAAAATGGAGCAATTGCAACTTTGTTCAGACAATCTGGCGCTTCTGAATCAGAACCCGTAAGTATGTTTTATAATTTGCTATTGACTGTTCAAATGCAGAGTTCGATGAAGTGTAGAGTAATGCATATTGTTTGTCGTTCTTACGATCACAAGTGCAGACAGAGATGGATTTATGTTTACAAACGTAGTATCCTCTGTTCTATGAATATAACTGGTGGCACAAAGACATGATTCATTACGTGTTCTGCTTCACACAGGACGCTCAAGTAGAGCCTGTTGTGATATAGTAAAACTGACGACATTATTAACTGTTCTTATAATTGCTTCAGAAGCTAAAGCTCACGATTATGGTAAGGGGCGTTACATTTCCGACACACGCGTGAGATGTTCGGCCAATCACAATGCACTGGGTCAGCTGGCCAATCAGAGCACACTGCCCTTTTCGAAGGAGGGGCTTTGTAGAAATCGATGCATTTTAGAAAGTTTGTGCATAGAGGATCTGCAATAATGAACAGTACGTGAAAAATTATGAATTGTTTGAACATTAAAGCATGCTAACATATTCTATTACACCCAATACACAAAATAATGAGCTTTGAAAATAGCATCATATGACCCCTTTAAAGGGGTGGTTGATTGCGATTTCACTTTTTTAACGTTAGGTAGTGTGTAATGTTGCTGTATGAGCATAAACAATATCTGCAAAGTTATGAAGCTGAAAGTTCAATGCAAACGGAGATATCGTCTTTTAAAATTCTGGCAGTTTAATGCCTACAGAAACGGCTCATAGGGACTACAACAAGTTACTTCTCGGGTTCGTGACGTCACAAACCCAGATAAACCCCGCCCCCGGGAACATGTAACAAAGGGGGCGAGGCCAGAGATTATCTTACTATAGGGAGATGAGAGGGTCTGTATTACTTACTATTGGAGAAAGCGTAACGGCTAACTTGGATCACGTGTCCCTTAATAACCAATCACAATACAGCCTTGACGTCATAGAATTTCAGTCAGAGTTGTACAACACTCAATCGCCGTTTACGGATCCCATAGGAATCAATGAGAAGTGCCGTAAGCTGAATCCCACCTGTCGCAAAAAGTCAGTGACTTCTCTTATAAAACGGCATTTTTTTCATGGTAAACTCTAAAAATAGTACAATCCAAAAGTAGTGTTTAGTGTAAAACATGTTGAAGATTAGCAGATAGGCTGTCGATTCATTAAATGATAAGCCATTTCCTCTAAAAAGCTGTTTATTCAGCGGAGTGAAGCCTCTTCTCCATTGACATCCATTAAAAAAAAGGCCTCTGGTCTCCTTTCCCACGTACTGGCAAACCGGAAGCGTTAGCATTAGCAGTTACGCTTTTTTGGCTAAAGGTTGCAGGCTTGCCTTCTAGTGTCTTTGATATGGTAAATTATGAAGCGTTTTCATTTCCTGAGCAGTATGACGTCACACTGCTCAGGCCCCGCCCTCGGCCAGTTGTACTGTGTCTGCCATTTTCTTTGCGCTCCAACAGCTTTAGCGTCAACAATGTCTCGAAAGCAATGCAGGTGTTTTGTAGTTGGATGTAAAAGTGAACATAGGAGTCATCATATTCTCCCGACACCAGAGCCACTGAGAACGCAGTGGGTTCGTTTTGCTTTTAATGGTAACGCGCCACCGAATACACCTCAATTCGTTTATGTCTGCGCAAATCGTTTTACTCCAGACTGCTTTCTGAATGAGGGACAATTCAAGGCAAGTTAAGACTCAAGGATGGATCAATACCCGCTGTTCGTGATTCAGCTGCACCTCCAGAAGTAGTACTCTAAAAAGCTGTTTATTCATCGTAGTGAAGCCTCTCCTCCATTGACGTCCATTAAAAAAAAAACGGCCTCTGGTCTCCTTTCCCACGTACCGCCAGACCGGAAGCGTTAGCTTTAGCCGTTGCGCTTTTTCGGCTAATAGTTGCAGGCTTGCCTTCTAGTGGCAAGAGAAAACTATGGGTGCACGTAAAAATCTATTCATATATGAATCGCAATTCTGTCTTCTAACGATTCTAATGGATTCACAAGTTTCAAAATTAATGTTCTAAAGCAGCGGTTCTTCATACAGTTCCTCGCGTCCCCCTGCTCTGCACACGCTCTGCATCTCTCTCTCTCTCATTCAGCTCAGCTCCAACAATG